ATATATATATATATATATATATATATATATAGCTTTCCCTCCCCACACTATTCAAAATCCTTTTTATTTATTTAGTTGTTTAATCCTTCTTTCCTCCCCCCACCCCCAGACACATATCTCTTTATCTTTTCTTTTTCTCTCCCTCCCTCCCTTTATTTTCTTAAAAGGCGTAGTAGAAAGGGCCTAGACTCTGGAGTCACACAGCCCTCTATTCATCTCAAGCTCGGACACTTATGAGCTACTTACCTTCCTTTCTTGGGCCTTCATTTTCTTAATTCATCAACCACCTCCTTAAGCCATCAAAGAATGGAACAAGATAGTGCCTGGTGCATTAATTGAGCTTCTTCTGCTTTTCCTAAAAAAAAAACCCAAAAACAAACAAAAAAACCAGATCTATTGATGAGAAAACGAAAGTAAATAGCAAACCCATTTCTTTCAAATGAGGACCATTTAGTTAAACATTTACTGAGTGTCCACTGAGTGTCAGACGCTGGAGTTACAGAGAACCTGATAGTCAGCTGAGAGGGACAGAGACACCGAGTAGCCAGGTTGTCTCCCCAGTGTGTGAAGGGCATGGCAGCCCAGAGCTAAACGCCACCTGAGGGTCAGGGGTGCCTCCTTCCATGCGAATCATGGGGGATGAGTTGGAGTAGGCAGGAGAATGGGCAGAGAATGAGGATAAGAGCGAAGAGGCATCGGGGCAATGAAGCAGCATGTGTGCTGGGAACTGGTGGCTGAAGGGTGAGCATTGTTGTCACATTCCCACATCACCATGACAAAGCTGCCCCCATAGCAAAAAAAAAAAAAAGCCAAAAGATGACCATGCAGTTCAGACCAATGAGCGGGCAGCCCCCAAAGGCAGACTTTCACCCAGAAGGGAGGGTATGGGGATGGAAGATAGGCCTCATCAGAGAGCAATGAGCAGAGTGTGTATAAAGTCACATGCTGGGTGTGGGACACAGAGGTTTGCAGGCATTGGAAGTGGCATCGGGCCAAAGAGCAGCCCATTATGGCAGCGACGATGGTGCCCAGGAAATCAAGTGTCATCATCTCAAGTTGCATGTCTGGTCTTTAATGTAATGTTCCAACATGGGGATTAGCTCTTCTTGGAATGAAAAGTGTCAGCTGTGGAGGCCCGGAACTTGGCACAGACAGACATGTTTAACGTGGACCCGTAAAGATCCTATGTAAACTCCTGCCCTGAGGATTCCAAAGATGTAGCAGCCCTATTAAGTAACCCCCTACTCCTAAGGAGCAGGAGAAGGATTCCGTCATTGGCCCTGTAGGGAATGCAGGGTGTGTGGTGGGGGGCTTCCCCCTCCCCCCCATTGAAGCCAAGAATGGGAGAGGGTTGCCAAGAAAATCTCTAGTAAAGGTGAGGGAGTAGGGGGGACACCTGCAAGGAGGGAGCACTTGCATTCCACTCCTGAATTGGATTTCTGCTTAGACACTGCCCTTGCTGACCTGTTCTTAGGTGACACGAGAACCGGAGGGAGCAGGGTGGGTGGGGAGGAGAGCGAGAGGGGAGCAGCTGCACTCCAGCCATTTTCTGTCAAACACACAGCGAGGTTCTGTGAGTCAGGGATGGATGGGCCACCACAGAAGGGAACTCGATTCGTGCCATCTTAACTCCCCAAAGCGTTGCCCTTGGGGTGAGGGGGTCGCCAGCAGCCTAAGGCGGAGGGATGCACTTGCTCAAGGCAGAAACTGGGTTGGAAGTTTCACCTCCTGTGTTAGGAAACTGGGCAACGCATGGAACTCACATAGGTTTCAAGAGAGCCGGCTTTGGAAAGCCCGCCTCTCAGACAGCAATGAGGGCCAGCTGCGGCAAGACAGGTGTCCACAGGGAAGCGAGTGAGGTCTACAGAGCAGTTGGTTAAGTAGAGATATGTACTTATCCCCATTCACCTCAGTCCTTCCCAAGGAGCGAGACTTGTCGGACCAGGAGAGGGGCGGCATTTTAGAGCAGACCCACACTCTGAGCAGTCAAACTCTGAGTTCAATCTTGCGTTTGGGTTTCAGGATGTGAAAGATGATGAGAGGAAAGGATAAATGGCTGGGTGAGTTCACATTCAAAGATGGGAATAAGCTTGACAAGGATGACAGACCGGACATGGGACTGTCATGGCAGACCCAGTCCACCACCATGTGGTACAGATGGGGACACTCATGGATTGACTGAATCAGAACACACTGGTCCTAGTGTGCCTAGAACTTCCCCATTTTTAAAACTTGAAGCCCTGTGTCCTGCGAACAGCCCCAGCGTAGGCCACACCATCTGTTAGCCATCCTAGAGTAACCTTTGCCAGCGATAGCTCCACCATCTATGGTTCAAAACGTGCCAGCAACATTGGCTGATAAAATAACTACAGCACTGGGGCCACTGGACTCCACAGTACATAGTGGATCATTAAGTGATAAGAAGAAGTACATTTTGGTTATTTATCTCCAAAGCCTAAAAATGTATCAACAGCTGCAGGAAATCAGCAACTAATACCAAACATCACATCTACCAAAAATGTCCAGGCTAGAAGTGTCCAAAATGCTAAATTCTAAGCTCAACGTAGAGGCCCTGGTGGTGACCAGATACAAAGAAAGGGGGCCCACTTGCAGTTGCCGGGCAGTTTGTTGAACTCGTCCTCCTACAACGCGTGAGGCCCGTCATATGTTGTTTGTCACTGATATTTTTTGAGGCTCAAATGAGACATTGAGCAATACTAAATGTTCTAAAACAAGAAGAAAGCCAATGGTTCCTGATGTTTTGTTCTCTGTCCTTTCGCCCTCATTTCAAAACAAGTATGTTACTATCACTCCAAGATTCATAGCAGATGACTGAGTAATGTGAGAGTGGGAAAAATAGAATCACATCAGGGAAAAAGGGATCAGTGATTATCATGCAGTGTGGGGCAAACCGCGCGAAGACAAATAACGCCTTGCTATGCAGGGTGTTTTATCATTTACAACCATTGTTTATATTTTTCTCACACAGAGTTAGAAGGCGAAAGGGTAGACGAGCAAGTGAGGAAAAGGTAAAAGCAGAGAGAAAGAGACTCAGCAAACCATCGAGTGCTTCAGCTATCTGAAACGTAAATAT